TTAAGTTCATTTTTTAGTTGTCCAAGCTTGGAAAGAGTATCAGGAGAAAGACGGTTCCTTGATTTAGTTTTAGTAAGGCCCAAAAAAGAAAAAAGATGTTCACAGGCAGCTCTATGAGGAACAATGGCGAAAACCTTCATAGCAAATCGGCAAAGAAAAGGTGAATTACCAGTAAATTTCATCCAAAAGGATCTAGGTGATTGTTGGGGCCCGAAGTTAATTTGATGAAATGGAGGATCGTTATTTTTGTAGTTAAGTATTTCTTTATGAAGTAGGGTGGTATCTTTTTTATTGAATTTCCAACACTTGGCTAATTCCAAACACGTGTGCAGAAGGTTGTCTTCATCCATATGCTTTGATATAGCCATTTTCTTGTACGTAGAGGTGAGAAATAAGGTGACAAAATAAATATCTCCAGAAAATTCCCTTGCTCTTTGGCTAATAACAGCTAGTGCATAGACTTTGAAGCCAGGGATTGGAACATCAAGCTTGGATATTTCAAGATGAACATAAATCAATTCCTTGAAAACATCAGCCAAAGTAGTATCTTGTGATTCAAGTTTTCTAATCGCATCAACTACAGGCTCAATGACTTTACCAGTATATCATTACTGGCAAAATGATATCTGTCGTTGATAATAGTCTTAATATCTCCTTTTATTACTGGGTGGTTGATCTTGTCAGATTCACTTAACTCAATGCAGTGCTGGAAACCCTTTTCAAAAACAGATACACCTAAGCAGACCTTAGCTATAGAATACCACCTTGTTTTACAGAATGTGCTTAAAAAATGAGAGACACCTTGTTCCTTTTGCCAGGTTCGTAAGACTTGTCGCCAAATATACGAAGCTGTAAAAAAATTTACAAGCTTTTGATTTTTGCTACAAGTTGAGATAATGCTGGTAAAACCAGCAATATTTTTTGCAATTAGGTTGAATGCATCTGATAGGGATAATATTCAAAAACTCATCCTATTAAAAAAAAAAAAGATTATATATAAGTTGGATGGAAGAGGTATTGTATTATTTTGAAATAACGCCCCTAGGCATTATTTCGAGATGATATGGTAAATGAATGTCTCTACATATATTTAGAAGATTTTTCATGGACTTCATAATGGGTGGATTGTCAGTAACATATGCAATTGCAGATGATATTTGAAATCCATTTCTAGCCAAAATTTCTTTAGTCTGGCTCATAATGAACGATGCCCTGTATCGATTTGCTGATAAATCAACAATATCTACGACGTATTCTTGATTTTCCTTAAGAATCATAAATCCATAAATTGAGTTTCCAGACACATCTGTCCAGCCATCGAGACAAATAGTAGTATCAGTGAAGGTTGCCATAGAGGTTAATTTTTTTTGGAGATAGTTAGAGAACGTTTTTGTTAATATACGTTCTCGCAACATATCACCAGAAGATAGTTAGTAACTAGAGACTGCTTCATTAAGAAAAGCTTGGAAATATGGATTTTCAACAAGGTTAAAAGGGATATTACCATAAATAAGAGCATCTAAGAGTTTTGAATAAAGTTTTTCAGATTGTGCGAAAGGCATAGGTTTAGTATACCAATTTAAAATAGTTTCTTGTCTTATAGATTGTACAAATGATTCAGTATCATCAGTTTCAACTATTTCAACTAATTCTTCTGGATTAGATTTAGTTCGCTTACAGGTAGAGAGTGATTTCTCAGAAGTTTTTGATTTTGAAGCATTTGAAAGAGATCAAGAACGGTTACTTATCGAGGGGGCTGGTGATTATTCCATAACACAG